AGAAAAAATATTGGCGAATACTAAACAAGCTTAAAAGTAAAGTACACGTGAAAATACAAAAAAAAAAGGCTTAGAGAAGGATATTAATTATACTAAAAAGTTGAAATCACAAAAATAACTAAAATACTGAAACTATAAAAATCTATGTGGGGAAAATACAACTACAGCTCATTACCAAATGACAAAGATTTTAATAACCAATATATTTTTAGGGTCGTGTTTTGTATAGTTTTGCCAGTCATTCTATCCAAAGACATAATATCAGTCTCTACTCAATGTAAAAGGTATCCTCAACAAAAGTCTCCTTTATATTTTCTTTTGGATCTTTGTAAAACAGTAACCTCGATAATATGTCCATATCTGGAATTTCATTTGACATATTCTATATCAAAGTCAAAGGCCATTAATCTTATACCACCTCAATATTCTCTATGGCGTGACTTTGGACACTTATTTTCTCAGATTATACATAAATTCTAATGGTCTATGGTTTGACCTCAATTTTTTCTAGTCAAAAATTGTCGAGATCTAGTTGTCGTTCACACGATAGCTAGAGCCTACTTTTCGATGTTTGAATGATTAAATTCAGCATTCGTCAGCCATCTTGATTAGTACATTATTGGGTGTCCTTGTAATATTCCAGATATTAATGTTTACTAGCATCTGTAGCCAACGTAATTTCTTATCTAGTGTCAAAAATTTTTACTACTGGTTTCTTTGCAAGAGTTAAGTAACTTATCAAAAGCTTTTGTTATTCTTCAGTCCACATGAATTCAGCGTTCTTTTTTTCTCAGTTTGGCAAGTTAGATCTGTATATTATGGTAGACATCATCTATAAAATTCACTAATCCTAAGAAGGACTCAAGTTCTTCTTTATTTGTAGGTCTCGATACTTTTACTATTTTTCTATTCGTGCTTGATCCAGTGAAACTCCTTTTGAAACGAAATATCCCAGAAACGATATATTGTTACTATTATGTACGGATTTTTTTTCATTCTTCTATTTCTTCTCAAGACAATGTCAGTTTGTTCTTTTAACTTAATGGCTCGTAGACATATGTCATCTTGATATCATACCATTTCTTTATGTTGTTTTCCCAAGACTTGTTCAGTGGCCTTTTGAAATAATACACTTACAATCTTTATTCCATAGGGCATTCTTTTTTTATCCCAAGAGACCTATGGCGTGTTTATTTTTGTTCCTTCTTCAATATTAGTTTAATCCTTGTGTTCAATTCTTTCCACGTTTTTCTTTGTAACCTTGCACACTGATTGAAGCTGATTTTTAGACAATTAATACAAGGTTTTCCAAATGCTGGGCATTTCTTTATTTCATTTTATATCAACAGAAGGGACATTTCACTACTGTTCTCTTCAGTGAGTAGGTGTCAGTGACTTCTAAAGCATCTTGTCTGTTTTCATTTTTGTTGAATGTTTGTATTAATTCTTGTTGAACCAAGTCAATGCAGGCGTTCAAGGACATATTTCCTATTTTTAATTGTACCAACATTTTGTAGCGAGGCATTACATATTTCTTCAATTAGTCTCATTTTAATTAAATCTTCAATTGTTTAACTTCGTCTTCCGATGTTTTTAAACGATGCAAAAACTTTAACAGGTTCGCCAGCTTCCTGTCTGATAACCTTGATTATTTATCCCCCCACCTCTCTCTCTCTCTCTCTCTCTCTCTCTCTCTCAGTGATTACTATTCTCTTTTTATGTTAAATATTTTCCTGTATTATCTAACTTATTTTGTCAAAATTCAAATCTTCCTGTTTCAATGGATGAGCCATTGTTGAAATTTTCATTATCGCTTTACATCAAGCTGGAGCAAAAAAAAAAAGAAGTAATTCGTTTTCTCATCCCTCTTTTCTTTGTTCTAGCTCTTACCACAAAAACTCAAAGCTGTGCCAAAGAAGTGTGCTTTCCTTTGTATTTTATCAGGCCAGTCGTTTATCATGCCCATCAAATGTTACACAATGCCAGTATAAATTAGGTTTAATGGCACTTCTCCATTTTGGGGATGCATTAGGCGCCGGGCAATAAATCCAGACCCGCTCCTTCGGGAGTGGGTAATACCTGAGAGCACCCACCCGCTCATACCGAGGGTAGTTTCAGCGCGCCCACGTCGCTACCGGATGTGATACAAGGTCAAGGTTTAAAGTGGGTTTAACTGCAATACTGTGCAAAAATTTCCCAGATGCCTGGATATAAACCCAGCCCCCTCTTTTGGGAAAGGGCACTACCTGGGAGTGCCCCCTCTGCCAGCCAGTAGTCGCGGAAACTAAAAAATAACAATTTTTTATATTCTGTAATGTCAATGAACACTCCTTGCCACCTTTGGGATGTCTACGAATATTCGTCGTCACTTTCGTAATGCTCGTTGTTATAGAGATGTAATCACCGATACAACTATGGTACGCCGTTGAACAATACTGGTGTCAGACGCCTTCGAATAACACTCGCACAAATAGTACTTGTCCGATAATAATCGCTCGGAAGTAATAGTGATATGAATAGCGAAATAGTATAAGTGAATAGAGTAGAGAATAACGGTCCGTATAGTAATAGAGGATAGACTAGAAACAGCGATCCGTATAGTAATAGAGGTATAGAAATATAGTATAGAATCAATTAGACACACGCTACCTCCCATATATGCGTTTCCTCTATGGTCACGTGATCCACTTAATTCAGTAATGGGATCACCTGTGCTTACTCACTGGTGATCTATGCTCAAACTAAAGTGTCGGCAGCGACACTTTATTCCTATATAACACCTTCCCTTTGAGATGACTTACTCTGGAGTATATATTTCTTCAGCTTCGATTCAATATTCAATATTCGTTGCTGTTCTTTTTCTTTTACTGTACCTCCTAATTTCTGGTGTCGTGGGTACGTCAAACATGTCATACAATATTTCTATTGGTACCTCTTTACGTGGATTTACTAAATCAGTGAATCTCCATTTTAACTTATGAAGGTGTCGCTTATGTCCTCACCTTTGTCCCTGTACCATGTATGCCATTTTGCCAGTCCGTTTTTTTTTATAACGCCATCTTCTCAGAATGTTGGTATTAGTCTAGACAATCCTTCTCCATTTTATAATTATAGTTCAATAAGATAGTTCCCCAGCGCTGCAGTCTATTCACTGTATGTGTAGGAACACCCATTTTTGATCCATATATGGACAATAATGGACGATGGTATGTCTGTAGTATGAATTCTCTTAGATGGTCGGATACTATGTACTTGTGAATTGTCCTTTTCCTCAATCTTTGCAGTATCGAGTTTCAAATTCACAATACGTTGACATTCTTCCGCTATTTTCTGGAGAGTTAATTTGGAATACCTTTCTAATCCAGCCAGTATTCTGGTTATTATCTCCGCGTCCTTATTGGAAGTTAAACTTTGTACGAATATCAAACATTTAAATAAATCAGGAGTTAATTCATGTAACTTGAACTTCTTACATTCTCGATTCACGACTTCTGCATAAGTGACAAAATCTTCATTATCGGATTTTACTAAGTTAAGACATTGCCATCGTGTATTAAATAATGAGCTCCTATCACCAAATTTTTTTATAGTATTAGAACAGTCTCATCAAAATTTATCTCTCCTGGTTCTTTCGGAAAAATATGATTCACATATTTTTCAATGTCCCGCAGGGGACAAGTTCCTTAATAATAAACACACTTTTTTTTCATCATTCCAGTCCGAACAATCCCTTTTGAAGTTCCCTTCGTATCTTATATAATAACCTGGAAAAGTTATCCCTTCGTCTGGATTGTATACAGATTCGCTGAATAAGCAACAGAATTTGGAGTGAATGAATTTGAAGTTTTTCATGGTTTTGGTAAACAACTAAAAAAACTTCTGTTGTTGTAGTTGTAATTGTAATTGCTATTCACCGTTTTTCTTCCTGTAAGTGTTGTTCTTATTGTAATTTTTGTTGCTGTAACTGTTGTTCTTGTTAGCACCAACATTTGAAACATGATAGCTTTTAATTCTTCCATTTTGCTGTACTCTGCTAAACGAATCCTCGTGTAAGTTCAAGGTATCCTTGCTAGTCTTTGTCACCATTTTGTGATGTCAACGAACACTCGTTGCCACCTTTGGGATGTCAACGAATACTCGTTGTCATTTTCGTAATGCTCCTTGTAGTAGAGACTTTGTAATCGCCGATACAACTATAGTACGCAGTTAAACAATACTGGTGTCAGAGGCCTTCGAATAACACTCGCACTAATTGTACTTGCTCGATAATACTCGCTCGAAATTAACCACCGTATAGTGATCTGAATAGAGAAACAGTATAGTGAATAGAGTAGAGATTTGCGGTCCATATAGTAATAGAGGATAGAGTAGATGTGGTGACCCGAATAGTAATGAGGATAGACTAGAAATAGCGATCCGTATAGTAATAGAGGATAGAATAGAAATGGCAATCAGTTAGACACACGCTACCTTCCGTATATGCATTTCCTCTATGGTCACGTGGTCACTTCTTTCAGTAATGGGATTGCCTGTGTTTACTCATTGGCAATCTATGTTCAAACTCAAGTGTCGGCAGCGACACTTTATTCCTATATAACATTATTAAAATACACCCAGTCTGGACATGCAAACCAAGCCTTCCTCAACGTCAAATCCCTGCTACCATAATTCTTCACTAAGCACTCAACAACAGACTATTACAATTGACCTCTTGATATGTGCGAGCATTTACTGTGTCCTTTTAAGAAGAATATTTCGAACTTTATTAAATGTCTAGTCCAACATGAACATGAACATTTTTCTCTACCCAGCTTAATTCTTTTTTATTAGGTACTATAATATTTTGGAGTAAGTCTATATACCATTCTTTTTTTTACACATAAATTTATTGTAAATAATTTTTTTTTCTGTTCAATTTCACATTGTGTAAGTCATTTCTTGTACACCTAATGAACATACTAATTTTTTTCTATATGATACAATTCCATAAAACAACTTACTAGTAGTCATTGAGCACTCAACGCCAGCATCTTCACTATGGCTACAGTCATGGATTCCCCAACGATTTCTTACACATTGTTCTATTGATGCCTCACTTCCTTGACATTCAACCTGGTCAAGCCATATCGGTCCAGTTCCTGCTTGAAATGTTCTACTAGCAGACCCATCTCTAAAATTGGCAAAAAAAAAAAAATTGCAAAACTTTCAGAAATTTAGAATTTTAACAGAAGGAAACATTTGTTAAAATATAAACTTAAGTCTTTGACTGAATGTAAAAAATAAAGCAACATTATTTCTTGACTATGAAGAAGAATGAGACATTTGGATTTTATTAAAATAACCTAAATTATTTTATTCAAACTGCATTTTATTTATACTTTTTAAATTTTCAAACATTCAGTAAGAATTGTGTTGGGAGAAAATAATTATCTGTTATTTCAAAGTTTTTAATATTAACTTATTAAAAGATAAATTTTTATATAAAGTAGCTATGTAAACATTTTATCAACACAGAATATCTTATTTTTTATGCCTACAGTAGTTTTTAGAAAGCACAAATACAGTCCAGAAGCAATCAAACTATATAATATTTATATGCCATCTTTATTCTTTATATATTATTTTCTTTTTAAGAAGCTCAAATTTTCTCTCATATTGATTTTAATTGCTTATAAATACAATCCCGTGACAATCTTTTTTTAGATTTGACAGTTCCTTTTCATATAATATTATAATTATAAAAATGACTTACACATAACCAAGCATTTTACAAACAACTTGTGCATCTCTATCATCCCATGAATCATCACATATAGTACCCCACTGTCCATTGTAATGAATTTCAACACGTCCTCTGCTCAGAGAATTACCTCCAGCTAGTCGCACAGATACTACAAATTAATAATAAAATTGTTTACATAAGTCTTTATAATTGCTATTTGATCAAATGTAGAAAAGTATTGAAATTTATTAAAGAAATATGTCATATAAATAAAAATACACTTAAGTAAAAGTACTATTCTTTATTTGTGTAACACTTTGATTGTGATGAGACAATAAGATGAAAATCAGCAAAAAGAAACCAAATTATCTCAATGTTATTTTTTAATGATGCGTTGAACCGTCTTGTCTTTGTTGCATTATTTTTCCTTGATTTTTTACGCATATATCATTCAGTTCTCCAATTTATATCAAGAATGTTCTTATTGACTCTACTCTACTTATAAACCATCTGATGTGAGACTCATTTGCACTTTCTGTAAATAATATAAAAAGCTCATATACATATAAAAATGTGGTACCATTGCCTGTAGTGGAACTATATGTTTCCACTTTATTTTACTCACACATTTTCTTTTACCGCTTTTCCTTGTTTCAGTGTCAGTTATTGTCATCTTATTCAAAAACTTCTTTTCTTATGATTCTATGATGTCCTTCTCTGAATAGCATACACAAAATAAAGCTTATAAAAGATTGCAACAAAAACCAAAATAAATTAACGGATCTTTTATTATTTTAGCAATCGTTTTACTAATCATCTTAATGTGAACTTTTATGACAACAATTTTTTCATTCTAAAACCAGAGAGTAAATCTAATAATAAAATAATAATAGTGAAAATGCGTTGTTTAGAAATTTTCTAAAATATTTTTTTTAATTTCCTAAATTCAAGAATATTTCAAATATCTCAGGTAAGTTATTGATAATTATATCATCATGGTATGTTAATGCTAGGTTAATTCAGATATTGAAAATGTGAGGCAGCAAAAATATATCTGAAAATTTAAAAGATGATATATATTTTAATACGATGTCATAGAGAAACACAAAAAACATGATGAATATAGTTCTTACCATCAGAAGCTATTGAAGGTGCAACCGTCATAGCTAGAAAAAAAGAAACAATTATTTCTATAGTATTGTTTAGCAAAAAATTTCAAAATATTTAAGATAAAATAATACAAAATGTAATAGAATAAATAAATATTATATGATAACAATGTAAGAAAGAATTCCTGAAAAAATATTCATCTTACCTTTCTGTGAAAAACATTGGACTGAGGCATCTTCACCATGATCACAGTTGCTTGATTCCCATGCTTGTTTTTTACAGTAAATAATATTTGTCTCATTCCCTACACAATTTACTTCATCTAAAAAGATCTTGCCTGTTCCTGCACCATACCAGCCATATGATAAACCAATACCATCACTACAAAACAGATGATCTTAGAAAAAAATTAACATTCTTTAAGTTAATGCTTTATTATTAAAAATTTCTTCCAAAGACACAAGTAGTTCCCGCACATAGAACATTTTTTTATCTCTACTTCCGCTTGTAGAGAAGCAATGACTGTATCTTCCAATGGTTCACTATTTTGGGTGATAAGTCTGAACAATCCGTCGGCGTGACTCAATTTACTTGATGGCAAAAATTCAATCCTGAAATCGTAATTCACCATCGTTGTAACCTATTAGCTGAATGGATCGGTAGGCCTTTTTTGGACCCATCAATAGCTAGCAATGGTCTGTGATCCGTTTGCAAGGTAAACCTTCTCCGTGGATGAATCTATGAAATTTCGTAAGGGTAAACACAATTCCTAAACTCTTCTTTTCTATCACGGAATAATTCTTTTCGGCTGTCAATCCACGGGAAAGTCAACCTCGAGCAAGCTTGTAATTCGCCAAGTGCAGCATTCCCAGCTCCCCCATGACACGAACGTTGTGCACAGACTTCTCTGTTGACCTTATGCTTGCGTCCCCTCCATAAAATGAAGGATGGCAAACACCTTATGTCCCTTACAGAGTGGAAGTACAGGCTAGCGGTAAAGGACGAGAGGAAAGACATAAGTGGCACACGCTTCCGGTCTGCACTTCATGGACAACTTCTTTCGGCGCCAAGTCTGACCGGCCGCGCCGACCTTTGCCTGTACTTCTGACCAAGTTTTCTCTAGCTGGAGGCCGGGTCCAAACCACACTCCAAGAATGCGGACAGGACCGTCCGTCCAACCAAAAGGCCCCAGAAGATGGCCCCCATCCTGGCACCGAATCGCAAACCGGAGATCTCTTCGCGGTTAATCTTGGACCCTGTCACTCTTTTACCGTTCAAGCTCCCTCAGTACCACATCAATGTCGCTGCGGGACAACACGAAAGTAGTTATCATCGGTGTACGCAGAAACCCTGGCTCGAGCCTCTCCAGGGACATCGATTCCACATAGAGCAGGACTGCACGCCCCATCTCTTATTTGGCGAAGGAGAGGCTCCAACACCATGGCGTAAGTTGGGGCGATAGTGGACAACCCTGACGAACCGACCGAGACAGCGCAAAAGCGCCCGACAGCTTCCCGTTCACCTGTGCCACAGCACAAGAGGGATACAGGTGGCTAATCCAGGGACAGAAGTCGGGTTCAAATCCGGTGGCCTGCAGAACAGCAGCAAGGTAATGATGGTCAACTCCATCAAATGCCTTGCACTGATCTAACTTGATCAGCGCGGCCTCATCGCCATCTTTTACACCCTCTATGATCGTGTGGATCAGATGCAGGTTACTCTAAATTGTTCAGCCCTTCACAGCGCAAGTCTGCTCAGGACCCAACAGAGTCTCGGCAACTGACTGCAAACGCTTCGTCGGAATCTTGGCCAAAATCTTTAACTCTGTGTTTAGCAGACTTATGGGCCTATAATCATCTAAATCCCTCAAAAGGCGTGATCACACCCCTGGAGAACCGATCGGGGACAGACCCCTCGCGGAGCCAGTTGATGAACACGACAGTCAAAATCGGGACAAAGATGTGCGACAGCCGCAAGTACAATTCATAGGGCAAACCATCCAGACCAGGCAACTTGCCTCCGCCGACCCTCTTCAATGCCGCGTAGACTTCGCCCATCGTGATCTCCCCGTCGCAGCTAACCGCTTCAGTCGGCGAAAGCCGAGGAAAGTCAGCCAAATAGCTCATCACAGAGACCAGTGCCCATGTATTCCGTTTAAAGACGCACCGCTCCACTAGAAAGAACACTTTTAGCTAAGCGTTTGGTGTCCTCTTCAGTATCTAGCAGTAGGCCCCACATTGCATTGGACCACCTACGAAGAACTTTAGGGGCAATATGGAGACTTTTCAATGTCTCTCCCATGGTATTTCTGCTGACTCCAATCAATTTCCGACTCTTTACGACAGAGGCAAGCAGGGATACAATTCATGTGTTTACTGCATCTAATGCCTCCGGGATCGTAAGGAAGTAATTTCCCCGCAAATATTTGTCATACTCGACCCTTTTTTCTGCATAATATGCCGAGTCCTTTTGTTTTGGCCTGTTATCTGACCAGGCCGTTTTTTTTTTCAATGGTGGGTTATTTTCAGTTGAAACTGTCGGTGTTTGCGAATTATTGGCCAAAGTGAACCAAATCCACCAGGGCTAAACAAATATACTATTATATATACTATTATATACTATTATTTATTTTTCAAACAAGTATAAAAAGAAAGACAAAACAAAATTATGGACAAACCAAATAAAATGAAACAAGAACGTGGAAAATGTAAAGACAAAAAACACGTAAGAACTAAAAATAAAATACGAAAAAGGTAATCAAATAAAAACGGGGGGAGGGTAAAAATACAAGAAGGAAATAAACAAAAAGAAAAGAAAAAAGTGCACAAATAAATACGCACAATTAAAAAAGGACAACTGAAAAATTCAAAAAGTTTTAGAAAATAAAAAGTAACAAACAGTTCACTTCACAGAAAGTCAAAGCTCAAGTAGGCCAAAATCATACGTCTCAAGCAAAAAGGCAATAATACTTAGACGGCATATTTGGCCCCCAACACTTACAATAGGGTCCAATGTATTTATGACATACCCATTAGTGTTCATAGGTATGGTATACTACACTTATGCAAATTATCACTCAACTAAAGTTCTGATAGGACCTGATGCTGGAAACTTCAGAGAAATTCTCCTCTCCAAAAGTTGAGTTGTCCTGCTGATATAGTCTAGGGTTGTACGACATTTATAAGAATAAATAACAGAACTTATTTTGAAGATAGGCAGGTTGTCTTGAAAACATATTTCATATTGGCCAATATGAAAACAAACACTTGTTGTGGATTAGCAGAAAAATAACATTGCAAAATAATGGTTGAGATTTGCTTAGCAAGAATCTTTATTAGTAGTATTAGTTCTGAAAATTAATGTGGGAGACTGTAATTGTGTATTTTGGTGTTATGGTATTTGTAAGCATTGGCGATGAAAATTTATTGAATATTAACACTTTAGGTAGTTAAATTTATAACTCTGAAACTAAATTACAAAGTACATGTAGCATTTGTTTAAAAAATATTAGAATAAAATATTTGCATACTGTCACATTTTAAGTTTGCGCATTTAAGTAAGAATTAAGTCATGATTTAACGATCATAAACTGACAAAGTCAGTGCATTCTGTTTAAAACAAGGGCTACATTCTTGATTACCCAGAATTCCCTTGCGTTAAAATGTATATAAAATTGGAATATGAAAACAAAACAAAACAATAATATATACATTTTCTTCACCCTTCTAAATGAGAAGTTCAATCCTAACTTTATTAAGAATTTGACAAGATTTGATTTATGAATTTTGGAATTAAAATTTGTATCACAGAATTTTTTAACCGTACTAAAACATCCTTATCATCATCATCATCATCCTTATCATCATCATCATCATCATCATCATCTGTCTCTTGACTGCTTCAATTGTCGAGGAAATCTAAGGTCAGAAGAAACAGACACCCACCTCCAGTGGCTTTCAAAAGTCCCAGCATTGTCATATCCGTGCACTCTTTGATGTTGACCAACTTTTGCGTTGCCCTCTCTACTTTTGTCTATCTTCAGCAGTGTCTTGCATGATTGTCTTGGACAAACCATGACATCTTCTGATGCTTAATAGTGGGAAGAGGCATTCCTGTCAGCCGCTAAAACTTCTGATCTTGCTCCATACATGGTCATTGGTTTTGTGTTCCCAGTAGAAAATGCAAAGAAGCTTTCTCAAGCATTTGTTCTCAAATGCCTGGATCATTTTTTCTGCCTTAACCAGATTATATTCTTCTTATAAGATCTCTGCCACTAAATTAAGGACCTGTCACTGGATATCCTCGCGAAGATGTTGGTAATATTCCATCTATTTGTGGTGCTGATTGTCCATCTATCCCAGGGCTCGCTGCATCTTCTGACAGTTCTATATTTCAGTCACTATCATCTGTTCTCTTTAGTGAATTTTGCTCCCTACAATTGTTTTTTTTTTACTAAATGTTCAATTTGAATGTTTCAAGTGTCATCCTACTCTGACAAAATATATAAGTGAACCTAGTCTTTTGACTACCATTCCAAGTAGCCATTCTGTGTTGACACGTACCAGACTGCACACAATCACTAAATCATGTGGTTCCACCTCCCACAACTTATCTTTAAATTTATTATGCAGTTCTATCTGTTTTTGTTGTTGCTATGTATCATAAAGTTTCATGCTTGGCCATAACAAACTTAGTCTCGTTCTGAGTGTGTGCTTAAGAAACATTTTAGCTGGGGTCTCACCTGTAGCTGAATGTGGAGTATTTCTATATTTTATTAGAGGTTTTACTATTTAATGTTTTATTGGCTGTTGTTTTGCTGACTTGTGCAAATACTATTTAACTATTTGCACACTTCTTTCTGTTGCATTGTCTGAAACAGGATGATAAGGTGGAATCGGTTTATATTTTATTCCATTCTGTTTACAGAATACTACAAACTCTGTTGAAACAAACTATGGTTCATTATCGGACACTAACTCTTCTGATAAGCCATATGCTGCAAACTATATATATAGTACATCCAGTTTTGGTGGTTGTTGTACTCATGAGCTTTCACTCTATCCATTTCAAATGAGTTCTTCCACCATTTTCAGCAAAATCTGCATTCTTGTTGGTCATCTCCAGGGATGAAGAAGAGCACATTGTGGATTTCAAGTTTCTGTTTAGGAGCTGTCTTTCACAGCTTCACACTCAATCTGCACATCTTAATAGGACTGCCACATACAACTAGTAGCTACAGACTTCATTGGCTAAATGCTCTTCATCCACTTCCCTAAATAAATGATTCTTCAATTCAGTTGGAATTATCACACAAAGTACACAGAAAACAATTCATTCAATATGGCTTGTGTTCATCTGCATTCACATTCAACACTTTGGAG